ACAGCGCTGTGGGTAGTGAGCTCTCCTGTGATTCCGCCTCCTCCTCCTTCAGCGGTTTGCAGCAGTTGTTGAAAATGATTTCAGAGGGAGGGAAAAGGAAGTATTTTACATATTAAAACAACTTGGAATGGCACTGAGCCTCCGCTGAGCCGAGGCAGAAAGTTCACCGAGCAACGAGTGAAGTGTTCTGCTTTTTACTTAAACGTGTGAAATGCAAACTACAGTTTTTTAAACAGTACATTCATATTACCCCCGGTTTGTTATTCAATACAGAGAGAGGAGAAATATAAAGAAAGAAATGAACTGACACATTTTTGTTAGATGTATATACACTGGCCACTTCATTAGATACACCTTGTTTGAACTGCCTTTTGCCGTCCTTGATTTTTCATGGCATAGATTCAATAAGCTGCTGACAACATTCCCCAGAGATTTTGTTTTATACTAACGTGACAGCATCACACAGTTGCTGCACATTTGTCAGCAGCACATACATGATGGTAATCTCCCAATCCACCATATCCTAAAGGTCTTCTGTTAGATTGAGATCTGATGACGGTGGAAGCCATTTGATTCTATCAACTGTATTCCCGTTTATGGTGCCTTTACCTTTAACTAACCTACCAGATAAAAGATCTACTGTACTGTGTCTGTTTTTTTTTTGGGTTTTTTTTGTTTTGTTTTAATGAACTACAGATTATTCAGTCAAGATTGACAGTAACTATTAGTTCCAGGCATAACTTATTTTGTTACTTTGTCTTGTCTGATAAAGAGGTTTTCAGCTGTTCTCTTATTCACAAAGGGGTCACCACAGCAGGTAGCTCCACATGGTTGATTTGGCAGATTTTTATGCTCCTGACACAACCCCAAAGACATTTGATCTTTATAAATTACATCTAAAACCATTTAGAGGGACTATAACATACAGGTGCAGCATACTTGTGAGGATGAATTTCATATTAAGTATGATTTATATTCACATGATAATCATTATAGCATAAAAGCTTGTTTTGGCTCCTTCAAGGAGTTTGGAAAGAAAGGAAAGCACTAGATATGGAAATGACAAAAGAGGGAGATTCAAGAGCTAGGGAGAGGAAGAGAATATAGAAATGGTCTATGGTCTGATGAAAGCATTTTATCCAAAGGAAAAAGTTATGTTGCATTTGGAAAGGAACCCCGAAAGGAAAGAGAAGCGGTACATTTGTTCTCCAACATTGGCTCAGTGCAAATAAATAATTGCTTTGCATGCATGTAATTATAATGCGACATGCAAAATATTGGCACGTAAGTGGGAGGAAATGGATTTTGCAAGCAAGAAAATTTCAATGAGAGAGGAGAAGAGGAGGAGGAGGATGAAGTTGGTACGGTTTGATGTGAATGTGTGATAGTTACAAATGCAAATGACCTACATGCTAAAAAGCAAGCAAAGCAAGTGCTTAGCATTAGAAAAAGTGAAAAGACAGGGGACCGAGTGTTGAGTCATTAGGAAATGCCAAAAAATAAAAGTCTATTTCCACATGCGCGTACTCTCACATATGTACAGTAAATGCAGCATGAAGGTCAGAAACCTCAGAAAGCTTCCTGGAAATCCTCCAATAGGAACATTCCTGCCTGTTTATGACCTGTTACACACACATGGGCGTATAGCACAAAAACATCATTCCCAAACATATTCATACAACTTTATCTCCCAATCATGGTGCAAAGTTAAAGGAAAAACATAGATAATGCATGCTTACTACATCTGCCTTCTGTTTAGTATTTGAACCCCTAAACGCACATGAGGCACACATGCATGCTCTTTAACATACACGCACATCTTAGCACACTAATGGTTATTCAGTGAGTGCTAAACAGCCAGGTGCAGCAGCATAATGTTGGCTCTATCATTAGATTTAGTCTTTTTTATTACAACTTTACAAATTTCTCTGGACAGTTTGGAATCAGGCCTCCTGGACCTTTTAGCAAACACATAGAGGATTTTATAATACCTTCTACTGCCAATAACATTTCTCAGCCTTTCTGGCAATGATATTTGATGGATTGCTCTCATTATTTTTAGCTAGTTTAAATTAGAATAGCAGCTAGTTTGTAGCTTAAAGAGACATGAAAGATGAGAACGATGAAGGAAAGGTTGCAATTGAATGCAGACTATAATGTGTGTACTACTCTATATGTAAACAAATAAACCTGAACTCATTAATTCAGACAGATGTTTCTAACTAAAGTAAACTGTGGGATCGCAGCAGTGCAGATGTGCAGAGTTAAGCTTGGAGATTTGTGGTGCACAGACTAAGGTCAAAGGTCATGTGAACCTGTTTACACCTTCGGAAACAAAGTATGCAGTTTACGGCTGGTAAAAAGGATTTACAATGAGAGCAAACGCTCTGGATTCCCCTCACTGGAGGTCTTTTTTACTGGCAGCTGCAGCCACAGATATGACGATTTATCTACAAGCCTGTAAAAACTTAGAACAGGAACTCACACATATGCATAAACATTTGTACAGTGAAGGCACGCCTACTGTGCAAAATGTAAACATAAAAATGAGTCAAGGACATATATAGTATGAGAACAATGACTTTTATTGAGTTTGATCGCCTTCTTTTGTGCTGGTCAGCGCTTTAGTTTTGTCTTTGTTGGACGTGTGCTGGTTTCATGGAAATGTCAGTGTGTATGCGCTGGCAAATCTATGCTTACACATTCACCCTTCTTGTTTGACTTATCTTTCATCTATGTCATGATTCAGTAGACCTTGTTAAACCTTACTGGCATTAGCTTGAGTTACTCCACATCTGTGTATGTCTGCAGCATGAAAGGTATGAAAGGTCCAGATCAAGTCAAGCTGGTGTGATAGCCGATAGTTCTGTGACACAGTCACAAAGGCTTGCAGAAAGCTTAAACAGGGATTAAACTCTTCGAACCATTCTTCTCCCAGGAGGAATTACTCTCTGCTGTTTCTCCGTCTTTCACTATCGCTCTGTCTCCTTTCATTTCCCAGATGATGATTTAGACTCTGCTTCCCGACACACGGTAATCCCTCTGTGAAAAGACCCCCGTGCTTCCCACCGTGCAGAAATCAAAAATGTCATCTTGTCATTGATTCATAGCTTTTCATTGAATTTCTTTACTGATCTGATCTGTTATAGAAGCCCAAGGGAATTTTATTACTACATTGTACTGCAAAGAATCGCACAGTCTTACTGTATCACCCAGACTTCTTGCCTTTAACTGTAAACACCGGCATATTCAGGCTGTCTGTATACATGTGGGTATGATCTGGCTGAGAGAGTTTTTAAGATCTGTTAAAGTACAAAGCTGGAATTTCATACTTTTGCCTTTTTTCACCTGTTTTAAAATTACATAATTCTAAACAGCAATTTCTCAGTGTGATGCCATGAAGCTTTTCTAATTTGGGTTTGTAACGACGTATGGTCAGTAATGCTACCCTTTTCAGCAAAGTATATTTTAGGTAGTCTTTATTTTAGGGGAATTAGTGCAAAAGGATGGTCTTGAACTTGTGGATCTTCAACTTACATTATCAGGATCTTAGAGACAGGTAAAGAAGTTCTTATGATTTACTACAGCCAAGCCACATTTCTGATTTTTTGTAATATCACTTAGATTTTACATTTTATTTGGACTTGCTCTGGAAACTAAAGAAGCAAGCTAGCAGAACTACAGTTACACACTTGCATAAGGTTAGCTAGCTGCTATTACTAACTTTGATATGGGTGAGCACTCACTGTAGTGATCAACTGAAGCTAAGGTGGCAATAATCCTCTCTGCCTTAAGTCTTGTGACTCCCGTGTTCAGACATGTTTTTCTTAACCATGGAAATAATTGTGTCATCTCCCTCCACGGAGGAGGTTATTTGTTTTGGCAGTGTTTGCGTGCGTGTCATTTTGTCTAAAAATACGATAGTTTGCAAAGTTTTGAATGAATTCTGAGAGGACTGCTCTCACTTTTCCATCTGCCTTTCTTTCAAATTGACCCCACAATGTCAATCTTTAAAGAAAGAGAGAAAAATGGCTGCCTACTGTAGTCAGTTAGAGAACTGTTGTTGATAATATGATATAATAACCTCAAGTTATTAATTACAAATAGATACTTATTATTCATTATCTATTTCTACATAATATTCCTGTAATCAAAATAAACTTGTCATGCAGCCTTTTGCTGGTTGTTACTACACTGCAAACATCTTAAAGGACATTTAAAAAGAATAAAGAAAACAAAGTGATATACAAATATACAAAATACAATACTACTCACTTAAAAGTAAATATGGAGTTTTGTGCTCTTGAAGAGCTTCTTGTTGATTTGTCATGAAATACCAAGAACAGGCCTCATCTGACCATGAAAAGCTTGTCAGTCAATTGTCCAATTATTTTAGAGCCTCTGAAAATGGGGCACTATGGATAAAAATGCCTCTATCCATCCATTCGCTTATCCTTTTCAGGGTCGCTGGAGCCTATCCCAGCTGTCATAGGGCGAGAGGCGGGGTACACCCTGGACAGGTCGCCAGTCTAACACACAGGGACAAACAACCATTCGCACTCACATTCATACCTAGTGACAATTTGGATTATCCAATTAACCTATCCCCACAAGCTGCATGTCTTTGGACGGTGGGAGGAAGCCGGAGTAGCCGGAGGGAACCCACGCAAACACGGGGAGAACATGCAAACTCCACACAGGCAGACCCCGGCCTGATGTTGGAATTGAACTCAGGACCTTCTTGCTGTGCGGCAACAGTGCTAACCACCGTGCCACCGAGCTGCAATAATGCCTCTAATTTCTAAAAATTTAATGCAGAACTTTTATAAAACCCCTTGAATTAAAGCTGAAGTTCTGTACTTTCTGCATATTGATTGGTTGATTTAAAATCAACTGAGGTATTGTACAGAGCCCAAATTACAAATCTCATCTCTATTTTTAGCCTATTTTTTTAGAGTGGTGACTGTGGGTTTATTTTGTATTTTTCTGTGTCTATACAGACAGATGAAGGACCAATCAAAGAAGGTGGCCAACCTGAAGCACAAGGAGCAGCTGGAAAAGAGCAGGAATGCCCAGATGATGGAAGAGGCCAAGAAGAGAGAGGACAATCTGAACGAAAGCTCGCTGCAGATAAAGGTATGCAGGGGGAGGATGAGGAAGCAGGAAGGAGGAGAAAGAGAGCTGTAGAAAGTTGGAGGGGTGAAATGAGAGGGTGAAAAAGTTTTTCCCCTTCTCGGTGTCCTTTGAATATTTTGTGCTATAACAACACTGTATCATCATAATGTGACAAGGAGCAGCCTAAGGCAATGTCAAACTTTTTCTCAAACACACACACACATGATGCAGCTTTCAGTCGGGAGTGTGTGAGAGGGATAACTGAAGAGGATAATTGACAGGGAGAGCAGATAGAAGATGGAGAGAGAAGAGGTGAGGAGATAACAAATGGTGGGAAGAGGGGAAAAGTTTGATAAAATAGGTGGAGAGGTGATTAGAGGAGGAAGAAGAGAGCTGCCAAATGAGTGCTGTGGGCTTTTAAAATGGTTCCCGGGATCTGGAAGCTACCCCACCCCCCAACTGTGCTGGGCGTGTCAGATGAACATATGTGGGGTGATTACTTTAACTTTGGTGTTCTTCATATAGCTGCAGAATGTAATTTTTCTTTCAATTCACTTTTCTCTCTTTATAATTTCATCCTTTCTTCCTACCATTCCCACACTCCCCCCCCCCCCCCCCTCTCCTGTCCATCTTCCTCCTCCTCCTCCACTTCCAGTAATTGTTTACCTCAGTGGCCTCTCTGATTATAGGCAGATGAAAATGCTCAATGCATATGCGTATGCACCCTCTAGCTATGATTGATCTTTGGTTAAAGGAGTTCAAAAGTTGTCATTCATGTGTATGCGTGTGGTTAGGAGATGAGCTGATGGTTATGTGAGTCATTCAGACATATGAGACCGCAGTGGTTACAACCATAACTGGTGTGTGTCAGTGCTAAGTCATTATGCACAGCTCAAACAGCACTGCAGACTGTAAATGGAATCTGAGAGTAATTCAGACAATAAATTTCATTTAATACAAATAAGAAGTTTTGAATTAAAGTCCATCTCAGTCTGCATAGTTAGACATCAAGTAATGTTGGAACACTGACGACTAAGATTTTCAGCACATGTGTTGGAGATGTTCTGGAGGTTTGTTCATGGCCACTGTAATGTCCCCTCCCTCTCACCCCGTTCCCAGTAGTTATTCATTCAGCTTTAATTTAACCAGCAAAGTCAGTTGGCTGGCAAGAAGAAAAATAAATCTTATTTTTGGGGAATTGGTGGGAAGTTCATGTTGTCATTTTATAAGAAACAGCTTCATGTGTGATCACAATCGTCTGAGGGAGATGGAAATCAGACTTTCTTGTTTCTGAGTCTTTTATTCTGGTTCTGCAAATGTGAATGGGAGGGGGTGTCCAGGGTGTTTTAATCTAGGGGCATGCTAAGCAGCTGCTTTTACAGAAAATTCAGAGCACGTTGTAATTATATGATGGATGTCAAACAAAACCAGATGAGTTAGCCATGTCATTTACTCACACATACAAAATTACTAAAAGACATTTGTAGTTACATTGTGATGCGAAGAAACTTCTGAGTTAAGAAAAGTTATGATGTATATTAATCGACAACCTGCCTAAAAGTGTGGTGCCCATGCAGCTCTGACCCACTGGAGAATGGATCTCTGGTGCTGTGTGGCACCGGGGCGTTTGGAGCACAACCTTTGGGTCTTGCTTGTTGTGGGGTCAGACCTCCACGGGTTCTGCTTGTTCCAATTATCCTAGGCCACATGAGCACTTCAGAGGCTTTTTAAAACCTCGCTCAAGCAATTTCTGAGCAGTTTTTGCATCATCTTTAGCCTCAGCCTCATCCCATGGGGACATGGCATTTTGACTTTTCTTGCACATCATTTAGTACGTAACAACTGCATGTTCAAAGATGAAGCTTAGCTTTTATACTTATTAGATCCAACTACTCCAAAATAGCTTGGAGAAATTAAAAACACAATCACACAGGCATCTTTGTGAGCCACAAAGATTGCTCTAAACACTCCATTTAATTCCTTTTTAATATGATTCAGTTGTTACTCTTGGCTCTGTGTGAAAGTGAGACTTTATATGGTCATCTCGAGGCACAGGCCTCATCTGCCTGCCACTCAAATCTTGTGTTAGTGAGAAACAGCCGGTCAGAAGGAAAATTAGCTTAAGGGACAGTGAAGTAGAAACAGCTTGATTTAGGCATAGGATGGCTAAAGGGTTGCACTAATTCCCAATATAAGACAAATACGATGTATTGTGAACTAATAATAATAACAAATGCAGAACACAGGTATGTGAAAATTGTGAAAATCTTCATTTTAAAGCACATATATCTGGTTTTATATATGCCCATCACTCACACATAGAATAGATTTATATATATATATTCTGCATTTAACATTAAGGGTCCCCAGATGATGAATCCCACTAAGTTTAGTGACTTTATTCTCTATTCCCATCATAGTTACATTTGCAGTTTTGACTGAAAAGTTGCTGTAACTTTTTAATGGATTTGCACAAATTTGGTTCAGACGTTCACGTCTGAGACAAGATTATTTGTTCTAACTTTTGGGATCCCTTTTTTCATCTACTAATACTCTTTTCTTCCATACGTTTGCTTTGTAGGACTCTCTCCGTCAGAAGGAGGAGCGCATTGAGGAGCTGGAGGAAGCGCTGAGAGAAAGCGTTCAGATCACAGCCGAGAGGGAGGTGGTGCTCGCCCAGGAGGAGCAGGCACGCACACAGGCCGAGAAGCAAGTACGGTCTCTCTCAGTTGCTCACGCACGCATGAAACTGCATGTATAAGGACCCAAACCTTTCCTTAAACTCAACCCCTATCAGTTATTTTCTCAAACAGACACAAATGTCCTCACTTCTGAGGATTTTCCTCATTCATTCCTTTGCTTTGCGGCACATTTGGACATATGATGAAAAAACATATGGGCAAACATATTTAAAGCTACATAAAAACTCTTTTTGACATAGCTAAACATCGCAGTGCCAAAAGTGGCTAATGGCAGTAGCTGTACACTTGCCAACTGAGCTCATTCAGGTGTGGCTCTGTGTGTGTGTGTGTGTGTGTGTGTGTGCGTGTTTGTCCAGTCACTCTTCATTTGCAGGGGAGGTAAATACATCTCTATTTAAAGAACAGCTTGCATTTTGTCCACTTTAGCCTGCAACACACAAACAGCTTTTTCAAATGAAGCGCGAGCTGACCACTCCAATTTGTAATGTGTTTTATCTATATTGAGGCACTAAGGAAAGCTCATACCGGTGTTAAGGGAGGCTCAGAACGGAAGGGTTTTTGGTGAATTCAACCTCAGACCACAGGGAGTGTGCATATGTGTTGTTCCCCTGGGTACCAGTGACTTAACGAGGCCATAGAGATGGGAAATGTTCCTCAGTGCCTGGATGCGTTTTGACAAGTGGGAGAAAAAAACTGTGTGGGCTGTACGGATGAAAACTGCCCTGAGAAAACACGGTCGGCTGTAGCTGTTGGCAATACGGCTGGACTCCATTGTTATTACTCCTGCTAAATGTTGGCTGCCTGTTCTGGCTTTTACTTACCGGACTACTTCTGGACCGACATGTAAAGACGGGCATGCAAACAGATGTTTTACTTTTGAGGTATTTTGCTGACATCTTTGCCCACAGTCAATGTTAATGAGCACCAGAGCCAAACAAGTAGCAGGCAGAGAGATGGAACAGAGCAAAGACAGATCATGGGCAAAGTCAAGCAGATAGACGACACCGGCCTGGGGGACACACGATAGGTTATTATCCGGAATAGTAATTACAGGTGAAATAAGACTTAGCTCTTTCAGATCCATGTGCAAACAAGAAGTGTTGTTTTTATGTTTCAGATTCTAGTCAGGATCGGGAAGTTTTCAAAGGTGCTTAGTGCAACAGGAAAATATGTTTAAGATGATCTGCACGACAGGTTGAATTTGCCTTTTGATGTAATGATGCAACCAAGAAGAAATAGCATTCTGCATTTAGATATTTAACTCTCTGGGATTTTGTTGCAAGAAACGAACATGTGTGAATATCTGATATTCTAATTAGGAAATGTAGTTTATTAAGTTTTATTCTAAAACCATTAGCTGGAGCATGGCTCAGGTAGTTGACATTTATTTGCTTTCCCAGCAGTGTAGATGCCTTTTATGGTGTTTGAACATTAATAAATCTTCATTTTGTATTTTACCATCATGTTATCATACCTGCCAGTCAAATACTGGCTCTTCTGTGTGTTATCCGTAAGGTCTTTTCCATTCTTTGACACACTGGCCATGGCAACATTGAATGGTAATAAACTCATCACACAAAGTAAAGAAATCTGTATTTTGTGGAACACCAGCGTGAAGTTGCCCTATGCCACGGCCCCATCCGGATCACCCGCTGTAGCAGGGTGCTAGCAGCTGCTGCTAATCAGGTGCCAATCAGCCACCTGATTAGCAGCACCAGGGGTACCAGAAGCTCAAAACAAGAGTCAATAGCAGAATAAGATGTTTGGTTTGTTTGATGGAGAAGTTTTGGGAAGTTTTCCATGGCCACAACCCACAAATACATTTTCCCCGTAGATATGGCACCAGTTAAGGGGAAATAAACAGGCTTTCCAATGGTATAAGACTTACTGCCAAGAAAATTGTTACAACAAATAAATAATCGACCAAAAACATTTCCTTAGTTTTCGTGATAAGTTTAGATACCAGCCTGCTTTTAAGGAATGTAAATGTCCACATTCAGGGGTTGGTTGGATGAATGGTGATGGGTTGAATCATCATATGTTAAAGTTTCATTGACTGCACTGATTTATTGATGTTTCTTCATTTTGGACTTGCTTTTTAGTTTTGCTTTCATTCCTTTAATCAAGATTTAAGCACTAAAAGCTGCATGGTTAGATTTAGCAAAAGATTGTGGGTTTATTATTATTATTATTATCATTGTTATTGTTATTATTATTTTCAGGAGAGACCTAGCCTAGCGGGCGGTAGAAGTTACAGCACAAACAAAAATTAACTCTGCATGTTTAAAAAAAACTTATATGCTGTGTTTGAGTGCGTGACAGGCGGGTCTCACTGGTGAGGAAAGCTTTTTAAAATGCCAAAACAGCAATATTTAATGGCTGTTTTTAACTGTAGGAATTTTTAAAGCCCTCAGGAACCTTACATTAGTTTTAAACAAAGCTAAGAAATTTTTTTAATTTAGCTCTTTTCAGTGCAGTCTTTTCACGAACCACAAGAAAAGCCCAAAGCTAATCATCACTCATTGGTCAAACACAATCCTCGCTGCTGTTATTAGTTGGCTGGACTTCGTTCACACAGTGAGGAAGCACCGAAAGCCACAAGTATTAATATTCGGTCAATGGTTTGACGTTTCATCTAAGCAGAGAGCTACAGAGAGAGATGAAGATGGTGAACAAGAAAAGCAAACACATTTTTTCTTTTTTTACAGCAGCAGCATTGCTACGTGAGAGACAGGAGTTCTTTCTTTTTAATCTTGATGTGTTTCTTTTATGATTTAATAATTCTTTTATTTAAATTTGTCTTAAAATTGAGCCCCAAAGAAAGTCCCAGAGTCCTGAGTTTAATGGTTGCTTATTTCCTGGAGCAAAAAAAAAAAATTGAAAAAAAAATTGTAGCTTAATGTCTTTACTGTAATTTTGCTAAGCTATCACAGTTCATTTGGCTGGAAAAACTTCAAAATGCTACAAGTGACAGCTTTAATTAGATAGAACAGAGGCCATTTAGGCCAGGACAGGGTCCTGGAGAGTGTCCTCGTGTTAAAATGCTTCAGTCGAGAAGGAAGGAGCAAAAAGCGTCAGCGTGTGGTGAATGAGTGGAGATGGCAGCCAAACACTCCTGGCAGCCCTCTCCCAACAGCACTAACTCAACCTTTCAGCACAGACATACATGCACATGTGGATGTGGCACTCGCAGACAGTGCAAGTAATATGCAAGACGCCGGACCACATACATGCATACTTATTTCTTTAAATGCACACGCACAAACACGGCAGAAAGAAGTGCTAACTGCTATTTAAACAGTACGCCGGCGCTGCACAACGTTGCATTCAGCAGGAGCCAGATGGACCCAAGTTTGGTTTTGGAACTGGAAACTCGCCTCTGTCCCCACAAGTAAATTGTAAATAAATATTTTGGTGTTTCTGTTTTTTACAACTGCGTCACTGCAATTAACCTTTCACATAATAAATTATAAAATGATGACAGAGGCAGACAATTTCCTCCCTTAATGAGGCCGGCCTGTTCAAAGGCATACACACATCACTTATTATGGGGTTGGCACACATGCGTACACACGCATATGCAAATGCAGCCAAACCAGGGACATTTATACTCGCATCTTGACTCCATATTGGGAGCCATACACACAACTTTTATGTCCAGCTATAGAGACAACATGTGTTTGCATAGTTGTAGGTGTGTGTGTGTGTGTGTGTGTGTGTGTGTGTGTGTGTGTG